CCGTTTTCTACAGCGATGTTTGTTTGAACTTTCACCGCCGCCGCAGCGGTCGCCGCTGCCGGTTGCGGTTTCTAGTCGGTCGCATCTGTGCCAGCCACACTGGGTCCTGCTTGAACATTTTTGCCGAAAACATCAACGCTGCCGCCGAACTCGCCCATGATTCACAAAAAACGTCACAAGGGTCAAGGTTCAGTGCAGAAAGGCGGTGATAGGGACCATGCTGCAATACCCAATGTTAGATTAATCATATTTACCTACATTCTGGGAGCAATCTCTGTAATACTTGGCTATTAAGAGGTCACGTACCAGCTGGGGAGGGAAACAACCAATCGAACTCCTTCATGCTTTGGCAGGTGACCGACATCTTTCAGTAATCTAGGTAAAGGTTGGCAAATGCGACAATCTTGTTAATCATTACTCCTCTAGCTTTTGAAAAGTGCACTTCCGAGAATTATGCGGATCAATGAAGAAACAGATTACGGTATCTTACGGTAAGGACAGGAATGACGAAGCTCTCACCCTCGTGAACATTTTGTATAAAACATCCATAGCAAAAGTTTGACGTCAGAAAATCCCAGGGGTGGTCCTCGACGGTGATTTTTTCAACCAGTGCTTCATGTACATATCTTTTCTATACCCTCTCGTCTAAGGGAAATGCCTTTCAATATTTTTCCGTTACCAGTTGTGATCGGGGTTATTAGACTTGGCCACTGGACTTGCGCCATTTAGAGTCGACGATGCTCCGGCACCCTACAAATTCCTCAGAACTTTCACTACCCTCAATGCTGGGATTAGGAATAAGCAAACGCCACAGACTACAAATACGAACGTCAATCTTCCTTCATCTGATTGGAGATGTTTGTAGGGAGAAGATTTCAGTGTTCTCATGCTAAGTGCCAAATTTTCTTCTACAACCGGTCCACTAAAGCGATAACTGTAGCACGACACATGGTTAAGTCTGGTGGGGTAGCTAACTCTGAGCTCAGCTCCCTTCAGTGGGCTAACACGGAGAGCGTCCTAAAAGGATGTGTCCTCCGATAACCGTGGTGAGCTTCTATTTTTGCAAGCGGCCACGGTTTAGACTCAAGCTAGTCAACTGGTAAGAAAGGAAAACAGAAGTTTTCTACGCGGATAATAAAACCACAACTGTGTCAGATACCAGGTACCATACCAGGTAACACGCCCTTCGTCCTGCTCCACCATCGTGCCTATGACCAAGAAAGGCTGACCTACGCCCAAATGTGAATCATGGGCTCCTGTTCCTATTAAACTTATCGCTGCTCTACTACGGTGCTGTTTGCGCATGCGTTTCCTTAGTCGTCGATATTATTCTGGGACGGAAGCTTCTGAAAAGCTCCACTGTCGGCTGGTACCATCAAAGTAAAATTTTGCTCGAATGCTCTCCTAATAATTAGTTCTGGAAAGTTTATTGAAGATGAATTTCTATCTGGTAGATTGTTTTGAGAGATTTTTCTGGAGGGGCTAATTCGCATGCTGAAAAATATTTCGGAATCAATTTTTCAATTTTAGATAAGATATTTTGCTTTTGCCGTTATTGCAGGCTCTATATAGAAGAGCAGCGAAGTTTTTCCTGCCCAATTCCTCGTTCATTTTCGTCAGTCAATATGGTTGTCCTTTTCAGCTTGTGTGTGCCTATGTGTTCCTGAGAGCTGAATCTTGTTCTTTTCCATGGCCATCAGTTGTTTTTCAAGTTCTCACTGAAGATGATCGCTATTTTTCACCTGTGGCGCGTCTCGCCATGTTGTGAGAGTATGCTCTGTAGATTTGATAGGGGACGAGTTCTGCTGCCTGGCACGGCTGGTCCCGGCCGCCCGGTCGTACGCGCCGGCTCGATCTGGCTCCGCCGCCGTCACTGCTGCAATAGCGAAACTCAACTGAAACATTCTAGTAATCTCTGATCAATGTTATTTCATTGCAGATATAATTACTGTTCCATAGAAAAGTTGCAGTAAAGCGCTAATCATTGCCAACGCTCTCTTTTACAGCCTCTCCTGCTAGTACCCTTTCCTTTAACTCCTTGCAGTGGAAAGGTCTCTTTCATAGAAGTATTCGAGTATTCGAAGAATTGACTAGCTAGAGCCTTTAAGTCTCCACTACAGGTACATGAATCACTCATCCAAACGGATTTTGAGCTAATATGTTTGCTCAGATTCTAGTTCGCTTCTTGTTTTTTCTTCTACCTCTTTAACTCATTTACGACAAAGTTTTAGCTGAAGTTATGATGAAATCTGCAGCGTAGGTGTTGGTTCTCGTGCTGTGGATAACGGTTCTTTCTAATGGCGCCAACCTTCCGATCATTTCTTGGGTCACCTTTTTCTTAATTGCCAGAAAAACCGCGGCGCATGAAGTAAATGGATTTCCGT